TCAGGTACTCCCCCATTGAGAAGACGGTGCTGGCCATCGTCCACACAGTGAAGAAGCTGGGGCACTATTTCCAAGCCCACACCGTCCATGTGCTGACCCAGCAGCCTCTTGGCGCACTCATGAGGAGCCCCACAAGCTCCTCGAGGATGGTGAAATGGGCGATCTTCCTCAGCCAGTTTCAGATTGAGATCAAGCCAAGGCCATCCATCAAAGGGCAAGCCTTGGCCGACTTCGTCATTTAATGCACAGCAAGGGAGACGGCCGTCGCCAACCCCGGGCCGGAGCCGGACGATACGTGGACCCTGTTCACTGACGGCTCGTCGGCCGCGAAATCATGCGGCGGCGGCGTCGTCCTCATATCCCCTGAAGGGTTCAGAGCTTACTATGCCATCCGCTTCAACTTCAGGGTATCCAACAACGAAGCCGAGTATGAGGCCCTCCTCAGCGGTCTCAGACTCGCCGCCGGCCTCAAGGCCAAGCACCTCAAAATCAAGTGCGACTCCAAACTGGTAGTGGGCCAGGTGGAGGGATCGTACGAAGCAAAGGAAGGCCGGATGAAGCAGTACAAACAAGCGGCGGAGGAATTGCTGAAAGCGTTTGAAACCCACGAGATCACTCAGATCCCAAGGGCCGAAAACGCCGAAGCCGACATCCTCTCCAAGCTCAGCTCGGACACCCCGGAGCACATCTCCCAGTTGGCCAAGATCGAGAAGTTGAGCATGTCCAGCATCCATGCCAGCCCCGTCTTGTGCGTCCAACAGCGACCAGAGGACTGGATCTCCGACATCGCCACCTTCATCGCAACGGGGGAGCTGCCCCCGGACGAGGAGAGGGCCAAACTTGCCAAACTCAGGGCCCCAAGCTACACCATAGAAGATGGCAAACTCTACAAACGGTCCTATAATGGCACTCTCCTCCGATGCCTGCACCAGGACGAGGCCGACACAGCCATGGAAGAGGTTCATTGTGGCGTCTGCTCCTCACACCAGGGCCCTTTCAGCATGTCCCGGCGTCTCGTCGTCCAGGGCTTCTTCTGGCCGACGATGGCACGCGACTGCGCTGACCTGGCTAGGAAGTGCACCACATGCCAGGTACTCCAGAAGGCCCCTGGCCGGCCAGCTGTCAACTATGCCCCTGTCAGCACCGCAATTCCATTCTCCAGGTGGGGAATTGACCTGGTCGGCCCCCTGCCCAGAGCCGCCGGGAATAACCGCTACATCATCGTCGCCGTCGACTACTTCACCAAGTGGGTCGAGGCGGAGCCCTTGGCCAGCATCACGGGGGCCAGATGCCAAAGATTTGTTTACAAGAACATCATCACACGCTTTGGCGTCCCCCAGGAGATTATATCAGACAACGACACCCAATTCGAGGCAGCCCCTTTCCAGGATCTCCTCCGGGAGTTTGGGGTGAGGCACCGTTTCTCCTCCGTTGCCTATCCTCAGGGCAACGGGCAGGTCGAGAACGCCAACAGAACAATTATGGAGGGGCTGAAGAAGAACCTCCAGGCCGCAGGAGGTAGTTGGGTCGACGAGCTCCCCAACATCCTGTGGTGCTACAGAACCACGCCGAGGAGGGCGACAGGTGAAACGCCTTTCGCCCTATGCTACGGCTTCGAGGCAAAGGCGCCCACGGAAGTTGCCATCCCCAGCCGACGGGTGGAACAATACGAGCATGACGCCAATGAGGAAAGCATGAAGATTGACCTGCACCTGGTCGATGAGAGGCGTGAGCAAGCTTACGTCCGAGCAGAGAACTACCGGCGTCAAGTAAAATCATACTATGACGCCAAGGTACGTTCCCAGGAATTTCAGGTGGGGGACTACGTCCTCCGCCGAAGGGAAGCAAGCCAGCCGATAGAGGGTGGCAAGCTAGCATTGAAGTACGAAGGGCCCTACATCGTCAGTGCCGTGGTCAAACCCGGCACCTACAAGCTTAAACGCCCGAATGGGTCCAATGTACCACGAACATGGAATGTACACCATCTGGTGAAGTTTTATCAGTAATCCGAAGGAGGTGTAGACGGCGAAGCCCTCACCCCTTAACGGGTTACTGATTGAACGCCACCCTCGGCCTCGAGCCACTTATGAATAAAATCATATTCTGATTTTTTCTCTTGAAATTCAAAGTAAAACATTAGCAGGTGCCCCCGTCGGCCACCTTAGAGCGAAAGGCTCAGGTCTGGCCGACATGGCCCCTTGCATTTGCAGCCTATGAGCGACAAGCTCAGGCACTCCATTGTATTTTGTATCAGCGAAGGGCTCAGGCCTAGCTGAGAGAGCACATCGTCCTGGCCCTGTAAGCCTAGAAGTGAAACGCTCGGGTATGGCCGACGATGTCCCCAGGACGAGGGGCCCGCAAACGGCCCACGTCTTGAAACGGGAAGCTCAACGCGTCGTCCACGCGCCAGATCGCATGACGACAAGCCTGAAATCATGGTCGAGGTGACAATCCCAAAACTCAGGGATGGGCAACGACAGCCGTTGGAAACCGGCCAAAAGTCTAGCCCGCGTCATAAATAGGCGACGGGACCCGCCCTGAGATCACGGACGTTATAAACGAAGTCCGAACCGGCCGAAGGACGAGCACACCCTTCGGCCGAAGCCTGAAAGAAGGATACCCCCGAAACGAAAATATATATATATATATATATATATATATATATATATAAGGGAAAAAGAGGGAAGCCGACGGCCGCGCACACTGGCCGGCCTCGAGCAATGAAAAAATAAAATCCCCACAACTCAGGCCCAACCAGGCCAAGTACATATCAGTTGAACACAAGTGTAGTACCACTGACAGGTAACATGGACGACACGTCCACACACTACAAGGGAATAATCAAGGCCGAAACACACGCCTATAAAACCCTGACCGCATCAGTTGGGTGACACGCGAGAGGTGACCTTCATCGGCCACAGTCCTTTGAAGCACCAACGCTTGGTATGAAACAAAGAACCACAATCCTGAGGATGACCAGGACGACGCGGGCACTGATCACACCCACGGAGGAATCAAGCAATCAAAAACAATCCCCACCTACTACAGCACCCCAGATAGCCGTTACAGGCACCGAAACCTAGACTGTTGGTCAAGCAAAAGACCTTTGGGAGTTAGTTCAAGAGTTTGCCAAACACTTAGAGAATTTTTGAGAAAAGGTTCCTCAAGAAGGTACTATGGCCAGCCGACGAAGGTAGAGCCATCTCCTTGGGAATGCAAGGGGCACCCTCATCGGCCACCAAGCCAGACCTTGGCCGACGATGGTAGGGCCACCCCCAAGCCGACAGCGGTACCACAAGGACGCAACTATGCCTTACATCTATACTTAGAAAATTATCCAAGTACTCAAATGAAGGAACTATAGCCGAAGCGGGTACCAGTATACTCCAAGGCCGTTAGCTATCTACAACTCTGCATGTGTACTTAGAAGAATTCTAAATTCAAAATATCAAGGTAAATGCGCCCTTATCGGCCACAACGCAAAGGATACAGGCCGACAACGACACGGGTTCAAACACTTGGGGAAATCTCTCAGAGCATTAGTCAACAATGACAAACCCAATGACAGGACGACGAGAACACTAAGCCACTTGAAGTTAGACACTTGAGAAAATTCGAACAAAAGGGAAGAAATCCAACGCCTGGACGGAGCGGACACCACGGTCAAGACCGAAGGGAAAGCACCTAAGTGAACCCCAAAAACACTTAGGAAATTTTTGAAAAAATCATAAGTGTTATGATGATAGCAAAGGAGCACCGGTCAGGCCGACAAAGCCTCCAGGCCGGAAAGAAAGCCACTTCGTGGATCCAAAACACTTAGGAAATTTTTGAAAAAATCATAAGTGTTATGGTAGCCAAGGACCACCGGTCAAGCCGACAAGGCCACCATGCCACAAGGAAGCAACTGTAAAAACCCAAAACACTTAGGAAATTTTTCGAAAGAATCCTAAGTGTTATGATACTACATCAACACCGGTTAGGCCGACAAGGCCACCAGGCCGAAAGGGAAGCAACTACAAGAATCCAAAACACTTAGGAAATTTTTGGAAAAAATCCTAAGTGTTATGATAGTTAAGCAACGACGAACAAGCCGACCAGTCCACCGGACAGGGTGGACTACCCCATGGACGTAGCGGACAATCGCGGGTGACCCAAGTTGTGACCTTGACACTTAGACAAATTTTAGAATTGAAATGACAAATGGCAAACAAGCATACAATGGATTCAAAGCCGAGAAGGACGGCAAAAATTCTTTCATTTAATCAATTCATTACAATTGGGGGCGCTTCGGCCATTACATCAGTTGGACAAAGAAATGAAAAGCAAATTACAAAGGAGCAGGGAGTAGCCGATCAAGCCTCTGGGGCACCTCCATCCGTGGCTGGCTCTTCGACCTCGTCAGCTCCCTCCTCGGCCTCAGTCTCCTGGCCGTCGGCGGGTGCAGCACTGGTGGCGTCGTCCAGAAAATCAAATTCGGTGTAATCCGGCTCGCCGAGGCCGGAGCTTTCAATAGGAGACTCACGCTCCGACAGAGGAAGCTTGGCCTGCTCTTCTGGATCCTTCATCAGCTTTGGCAGCTTCAGGTTCCGTCTGGCCCACCCGGACGTGTAGTTCATGGCCTTCAGAGCACGGGACAGCCGCCGACACAGGAGCCTCTGCATCCGCTCCTGGCCCATGTTGTAATAGACGGCCATCTCCCTACTGAAGTACTCCTGGCCGGCGGGGGAGTTCATCCCCCAATCTTCAAGCCTGGCGGCAACCACTTCGTAGCACCAGGGGAGCCTCTCATCGGCTTTCCACCCCTCGGCCAGGAACCGCTCAACGGCCTCGTCAGCAGCCTTAACAGTGGCGGCCTCGGCCTCAGCTTTCGCCTTCACGGCTTCTTCATTCTTGAGCCGCTCGGCCACAAGCTCCCTTTTGCTCTCCTCGAGTTTGGCCAGGGCATCGTCCCTGGCTGCAGCGGCTTCATCAGCCCTTTGCTGCAAAGCCTTGGCATCCTCCCGGAGCCGATCCAGGCAAGCTACTGCCTCGTCGGCCGAGGCAGCCTTCTGCTCCAGCTCTTTCAAGCGAGCTATCTCCCGGTATTGCCTCTTATGGCTCTCCATGAGCATAAAGGCACTCTGCAGAAAAAAGGAAAAACAAAAATCAGGCAAACGACTCTACACGGACGACGAGAAAAGTACACACTACAAGGCAGAGAACTTACTTGGACGAGGAGGTCCATGCCGCCCTCGTAGATATTCACGTCCCCGAGCTTCCTCAGGTAAGCCCGATCCTTGGCCGGCATGGCCTGCGCCAGGACGTCGTGGCCAAGAACGACGTCATCGAAGACACCCCCGCCGACGGGGTATTCTACCATCTTCTGGTAGGTGGCACCTGCAATCTCTTTGCCGGCCCTCTTCGTCCGTGGCTCCTGGACGAGAGGCAGTGATGGAGCAGCATCACCAGCAGCAGTAAGGTCCACGACAGGACCACTATCGTCCACGCTGGGGACAGCCAGAGTACCGGCCTCAGTAGCCGGAGAAGGGGAAGGAGCCCTCTTCGTCTTCTTCGAGGCGCTCAGGCCGGCCTCAGTTAACTTTTTCTGGCCGTCAGTGGCCGGCCTTTTCTTCTTCGATGGAGCAGGCTTTGGGGCCGCACCAGTACTAGCCCCGCCCCCATCGGCCGCGGCACGCCTAGCCGCCTCGGCCGCCTTAGCAGCCAACTCCTCGGCCGCTTTGGCCTTGGCAATAGCCATTATGGAACGACGATCCATTGCAAAGTCTACAAAGGAAAAACAAACAGATTAGTAAGATAAAGGAACAAAACATGAAGACAGAAAGCCGAAGAGGTAATTACCATCGGCCTCAGCAGGAATGCCCAAATCCGGGCCGTCGGCCTCTTCAAAGGTAGTGGTCATCCTCGGCCAGAGTTGGAGGTCATCCTCCTTGTCACCATAGACATGGTACCTCAAGAAGCCGAGGGCGGTCATCTTGTATTCAGTAATGTACTCCTTCACGCTCCTCGGCCCCCCTTCCAAGAAAGCCTCCACATGAGCGTCCAAAATAGAGCTCTTCGGCGGGTCGTGCAGGTTAAACCTCCCGGTATGGCCGAGAGAGGGGAACTCGGTGCCACTCTCACCAATGGACACAAACACGAACTTGCTCTTCCACCCATGAATGGACGTAGGCAAATCCGTGAAGCTCCTCTTCTTCGGCAGCTGCTGAAGAGTAGCGTAGGCCGCACAGTTCTTGTGGCTTCCTCGGCCGATCTGGTACAGATTCATGAATAGTGCCGTTGTCGGCTTGTAGCCCAACTCCTCACACCGGAGCAAGAACCCCACCATCAAGGAGTAGCTGTTCGGCGTCAGCAAGGCCGGAGGAAGCCCTACCATGTCCAGGTACTCAGTAATGAAAGGGTGAAGGGGGAACCTCAACCCCTTAGCAAAACTCATCGGGTATACTCCAAAGTATCCCGGTGGTGGCAGAAGAACATGGTCCGTCGGCCTGGGTGCCCTAACCCGCCCGAACGACCCCACATACATCTGGGCAACAAGATAGTCGGCCGCACTGCTCTCCGGCTTGATCAAGTAGATGTTGGTGAGATCCAGATAGGAGATGCCGGGCCCACTCTTCGGCTTCCTCACTCTCTTCGGCTTGGCGGCTCCCTTAACGGCGGACACCGGCCTCGGGCACGGAATGACAGCTGAAGTGGACGCCCCGTCCACCACTCGGGACGCACCTGCGTCCTCACCCTTTGAAGAGGAGGCGGACTCCTCGTCCTCGCCTTCCTCGTCCACCGGCTCTCCGGATTTGTAGGGACTTAAACGCTCTATCTCCTCTTCAAACTCCTCGAGTACCTCGTAGTCAAGCGACCTCGTGGAGGGCTGGTCGTCGTAGGGGTAGTAGTCTTCGTTCAAGCTCTTCATAACTACTACTACGGGCCTAAGGAGACTAACTTAAGATCTAAGGGTGTTCAAACGCCTAACATTAGATCAACAACCTAGGAAGCAAAGTATGAAAAATGAGGAAGATCGCGATGAACACTAACCTTGAACAACGAAGAACACGAAGAACAGGCTTGGGAGTTTATCTCTCTAGAAAATCGGCCAGCACTTCGACAAATTCAGAATGCAAATACGTTTTCTCGTCGGAGGGGGAGGGGTATTTATAGAACCCCCCACCCAACGGTCACTACACGTGGCACCCCCCCAATGGCCACGCCAACGGCCACCAATGGGGGGCGACCACGTCACCAACGGACCAAACTCAAAATCAACAACCCACTGGCAGGACGGACTCCACGGCCTACACACGCTCACCGGCTTTACGAATGCCAGCAAGCGCCCACTACGTCCCACTTGCTCGCCAAGATCACAACTGCCAAACAATAAGGAGACGGCAACGGCCAGGAACGTAACGGCCACAAGATCGAAGGACCCAAGAGCCCAAAATCCATCGGCTCCTCGTAATAACCCTTGATGATAACTCTCTACAAGAGATCTGCGCACAAGGGTTCTCCCACAGGGTTACCTTGGCCAGAAAATCGCCATGAGGGTTGGATTCAGGGGGACTACGGCGAGACCGCTTCGGCCGGGGACTCAGGCAACTCCTTCACCCCTCACGCTCTTCGGCCTGAAGCAGTGGGGGTCTGGGGGACTACACCGGCCTCAACAAAACGAAAGAAAATGCAAACAAGGTAACCACAGAGCATGGCCACATCGGCCACGCATCACACTGCACCTCGTCGACCGAAGGCACACAACGTCATCTGCAACGGCCAACGGGCCACCAAAGGCAAGGACACTCATCGTCCTCCGCCATCACTTAATCACGAGGGGCTCTTCGGCCAGAAACATGAAAGCTAATCAACGACGGCCAAAAGGAGTGCGCAAACACCCTCATCGGCCATCCAAAGGGAAAGACGCCATCGTCCTCGAAGCAAGGACCAACTTCAGTGGCCTCATCGGCCCAAATACAAACTTCAACCATCAGCGCCCAAGCAAAACATGCCTTCAACGGCCACCATTGAAAGAAGGACACTCATCGTCCCAAAACGAAGACATCAAGTAAACAACGGCCTCCCTGTCCACAACGAGGAACAGGTAACGGCCAAGGGCAACAAAGCACAGGAATCTACTCTCCTTCACTTCGTCTACGTCTCAGCTTAGAGAGTGGGGGACTCCTGATGGAGTATATGGGTCTGAGCCCCCGGACCCACATACTCGGAACAGAAAGCACAAGACAACAGAGTGGCGCCCTCGTCGGCCAAGACGCCCCCGTCGGCCGAAAAGGGGCCAACTCGGATATGGTCCTGAGTCCAAGGAACCCGGGTGCCCTCGTCGGCCGTGCCCTCGTCGGCCGTGCCCTCGTCGGCCAAGAAGACCTCCCAGAATCAGATTTTATACTTACTCATTTGTACAGCCCATTAGTGGCTTTGTATTCGGCCCAGTAGCGGTCCAGTTGTAAATGGGCCTCCCAAGCCCAAGGCTTGGGAGCCCAACCCTAATTTTCTCTATAAATACTCCCCTTGGGAGTAGTTATAGGGGTTACAAAATCATTCTATTGAAGCATATTATTGCACTTCTCTCTCTAGCTCTCACTTCTCTCTAGATATACTCTATCAACTCGTTGCACCACTTTCCTTATACCCAAACTTACCATGAAACTCTCGTTTACAAAAAAAAACAGAGCATCGGTTAATGAATTTCCATATACCGATGAACTGAGGCGGCACTCTACACTGCACCCAATAGAAGCAAACGAGAACTAAGGAAGCCATAGAAGAGAGAGCAAGTTTGAGAAACGAAGATGGCGACCGAAGAGGCATGCAATGCGACTACATTTAAGAGTGCACCCACAGGTTCGAACAAGGAAAATAGTAATATCTGTTGTTATGTATGTATTTTCGAATATATTTATTGGATTTGAAATTGATTTGAAGCATATGAAACGTAGTGAAATAATGCACCGATAGGGGAAATTTGTGGGTAGATGTTAGCGAATGTTATAGTTTGTGTTGCATGAGCACTACTAGTTCGAAATATTGGACTTTAATAGGGAGGGTTTGTGCACTATAACTTTAATAGGAGTGAATGAGCTTAGATTAAACCAAAAATATTGCATGAATGAAATACTCGTATTTGACCAATTTTTGTTAAACTTTTGAAGTGTAGAGGTGTTCTGCAATATGAATTGGAAGTCTGTGCATCAAATAGTAGGATTTTAATTTTTTTTATTAAGTTTTGAATTTTTAAGGTGGTGTGCAGTGTGTATGGGATGTGAGTGCATGTTAAAGCTTTTGTGGTATAATTTTTTGGGTTTTGGTTTCAAGTTGGAGTTGCAATACAGATAAATAAAAGTGCACATATAGAGGGTTAGACATATTGATCTCATGTGTGCAATCTAAATTTGCTATGAGTGCATGATGTATACAATGTATAGAAGAAATTTAACAACTGTGATTCAATTCTTGACCAATTATATATGTTGAATTCTTGTGTTTTAGAGACGATGTGCAAAATAAATTGTGGGTAGAGGTTGGCGAATGTTATAGTTTGTGTTGCATGAGCACTACTATTTCGAAATATTTGACTTTAATAGGGAGGGTGTGTGCACTATAACTTTAATAGGAGTGAATGAGGCTAGACTAAACCAAAAATATTGTATGAATGAAATACTCGTATTTGACCAATTTTTGTTAAACTTTTGAAGTGTAGAGGTGTTCTGCAATATGAATTGGAAGTCTGTGCATCAAATAGTAGGATTTTAATATTTTTTTGATTAAGTTTTGAATTTTTAAGGTGGTGTGCAGTGTGTATGGGATGTGAGTGCATGTTAAAGCTTTTGTGCTATTATTTTTTGGGTTTTGGTTTCAAGTTGGAGTTGCAATACAGATAAATAAAAGTGCACATACAGAGGGTTAGACATATTGATCTCATGTGTGCAATCTAAATTTGCTATGAGTGCATGATGTATACAATGTATAGAAGAAATTTAACAACTGTGATTCAATTCTTGACCAATTATATATGTTGAATTCTTGTGTTTTAGAGACGATGTGCAAAATAAATTGAATGTTAGTGCATTATTATACAAGTTTAGTATTATTTGAGTTTATATATGTGTGCAATCTAAATTTGCTATTAGTGCATGATGAATTCTTGTTTTCAAATGTCATGTGCACAATGAATTGAAAGTTACTCCATGATTATAGTTAGTGCATGATTATTGTGTATTTGTTAACAAACGCGAGGTTTGTTTGGTGAGTATTAACAGCAGTTCCAGATATAGGAAGGTGCACTACAATGAGGAGGAGAAGTGCAAGATTTGCTCGAGAGATGAACAAGAATGGAGGTGGAGATAAGATGAAGGGATAAGAAGCAGAATCCTCACGGCAAGGAAGAAAGAGAGTATTAGAGGGAAGTAATGTTGATGTCGAAGATAGTGATGATGACTTCGCAGATCTGCCAAAAAGAAAAATAACTAGAAACAATGAAAGTTCTGAGAACATAATACAGGGAATTGAAGATGATACTGTAAAAGAAAACATAGAGTTCAGAAAGTTGCGAACAAGGTCTTCACCGCAACTTCTAGTTAGAGCCATCAAGGATATGAATAACGCACAGAAGGAAGCGGTGAAGAGCATAGGGTTTGGAAAACTGCTCGAGATGAATATAAAAGAACTTCCTGCAAAGTTAGGCTATTGGGTGGTTGAGAA